TACCACAAAACATAGGTCATCACAGCAGGTCTCTAAACTGCTCATCATTTTGAGTCCTTGTGCCGCAGGTGCTGACCAGATCAACAACCGTCATGATTGTTAATTCCGCATGCCGATGCTTCTGATATCAATGATTCTAACCTTTTTATAAAATTTCTTGCTCGATGAAATGTTTTCTCACGTTCCGGTGTCTGGCCTTTTATTGGTGACTCAGGATGACATTCTGAATCAGAAGAGGTAAAAAGTTGGTGTTCTTTATCGATCTTTGTTGACAGTAGGATTAAGACCTGATGTTACTTTACGATAACGGGCAAGACTTGGAGCAGCAAACTAAACAGCACCTCAGTAGCTTCGACTTGCAGGTAGTTACACTAACAGTGAACCTACATCAAATCTACATTTGGCTATGATGACAATTTTAGATTAATCCATTTGATTTCACTGTAACAGTTCAGCCTGTCTGGGACGTACGAATTCGTGTTTAATTGGCGGAAATCTTTTGCAGCTTGTACAATCTGGTTATCCGCTGCCTTCCACGGTGGAACTCCTGAATGCCTTGTATAGTTCATTGATTTTTGATCTTTTGAGTAGTTTGGGGTTTCCTTTTGAATGATCAGACTTAACGAATTCTCGGTAAAGTAATGCGAACAGTATGAGATTTGTTTAGTTAAATGCAAATTCAAATCCTGTTAAGGTTCAATCGGCTTTGAAGTCGTTCTAAACGAGGAAAAACATTCTCGTCAAGCAAGGTAATCCCGGACTCTGCTTCATATTCATTTAATAAAAGCCCCTTGTTGGCATAACATGAGACGTGTGCGCAGGTCCTTTTCCAAAGTTTTGTTTCACATTTCTTCGTCTGCAATCTGCGAAGTTGTTCCCCTTAGCCGCGATGCACGTTAGATGGAATGGAAACATTTTATAGTTTTGTGTTTTTGCCTGTTCATTCGGTTATCGACATTTGCACTTGGAAAACTACTAAAGTCAAATGAAAATGCTCTATACAGTTCCACATGCCAGCGTTTATCCGATCAGAAAATAATCTAGTCACTTCGATATGCAGCTGATGCAGTGTTAGAGAACATAATAATCATTCATCCAAAGGTGAGTTCTGATATTTACCCGTAAGTTGTCACTAATGTATCACCCGTAGTCGGTTCACCAGACTGGGATCATCTGCAATATAAGACGAGATGGATGAGGTCTTAAGTATTGTACGCCAAACCGTACTTTTCGTCAATCAATCATCATCGATTACCCTAGTCTTCTGGAAATTTAAGGTGTGCATACATTCTTGGTGAAGCGGGGACCATGGTTTATTGCGACAACACTAATATATTAATGACTCGTCTGTGTGTAGTTGGTTAATTTGTGTGTCCCCGTTTGCCTCTGACTTATCCAGATGATTTGAAAATGCGTCGTCCGAGTGTGGTCTTCACATCCCTTCTGAAACACTGTTTCAGTCAACACGGTATTATATGATGGTTTTCAGCCCCTGGAGAAATCTACGTGTGTACCTGCCACCAAAAGGTGCAAGTTTACGCCAAACCATTTGAGTTAGATATTCACGAACCCGACCTAAGAAACTGAAATCGCGGTTCAAAACTGGTGTCTTAGTTTGTGTGATCAGGGGTGAAAAATAAAAGGATAGACAACCAGAAAATTACTGCAAGGTTTTCTACGTTTTAAAAAATGCATCTCTCGTATTCTTCATCAGCCTACTGGGAGTGTGTTATTGAATAGCCCACCGGATTTCTCGATATAGATAAGCTAAAATATGAATGTCTACAGTTGGATGAATAACTTAAAATGCAGGGTGCATCACACTTCCACAAGGAACCGACCAATAAACCAGCTCAGGCGACTTCAGTTTCAGTGTTGTGCAAAGCATCACGGGATTTGAATGGTGAAGTCTATTATCACCATTTGGAAAACAGCTGCTTCTTGCACTCTGTTGACATTAATCCGTGCCCTGCGACATATGTTATTTACGTCATTTGTACACTTCTCACGAGCATGCCTGTATGATGAACTATTAAATTGTGCAACAATGACCTCACTTACACAGTCGCACATAAACATGCACCAAATGACACTTCCAATCATGGGGTAGCCTTGAAACGACTTTTTTGATCAACGGCATAACACAAAACAGAGTCGTTCACCTTAAGAAGCCAATACCATTGCACTGAAAACGTATTCTGGATCACGCTTCTGTTACACTTGACCTTGTTCGTGGGACTTGAGGTCAAACAAGTGGTAACTAAGGCAGATCTGATTGCCCAATGCGGTCCAAGCAACACGACCCATTCGTATGATGTTGCACTGTGAAACGAAAGGCGAGAGAGACAGAGAGACGGACAGCATTTTTCACCACAACTGTGAAGCTTCATTCAGGGTAAACCTTGAACTTAATTAAAGATTCCTAAATAATTTACCAATCCAAACGTTGTTAGCCTTTCCTATTACTCAGTCTTTGTATTCCAATATGTTACGAAAACATATATTTTTCATAGTTTCTATACGTTTCTAATTGTGCTAATGCAATTGTTTTCTGACCAGCGTTTGAAAATCCATAACAGCGTGAAGTTCAGAGTGATCCAAACCAGCGTATGGCTCATTTAACAGTTCCATTTTGGTGTTAGGCATCTCATCGCCGAAAGGCAGTAAAAGGATACACGACCCCAGCTCAAGATGAAATTGAATTTTTCGTCTCTCCTGCGATTTGCTGGAATACGCATAAGGTGTGTATCTCAGAACCTTGGCATCTGTTTCATCCAGGAATCGGCAACACTTGACGCTGAAGCGGTTAAGAGGTTTTCTAGTTCCCTTGATATTGTTTTTCAAACATTTACATTGAATGCCCTCCTCCTCCCTGACCCTTCCAATTTATAGTGTCCATGTGGAAACCTGATATGAATGTTGCTATGTTATCCTGCAGTGTATTTTTTTATTTGTCCGAAGTCCGTATTTTTGTATTGGTCAGACCGTTTCAAATTCGCTTCGTGACGAATCGTGCAAACTGTTTGGAGATTTCATTGTCACAAAAATCTGTAGAATAAAAAGCCTCTCTCATGATGGATGTGTGACTGGCAGCGGCTTCACAGCAAGCGTCTGAGGGTAACACAACCTGCGTGGATTTCTATTCTGTTTGGTGATTCCTGAATAAATTCGTACGTGCATTGATAGTCCGAACACCCAATCACGTCGACTTGTACATGCAAATTACCCGTTTATTTGTGCAGAATGAATTACAGACCACCGAGCAGCGTATCGAACGCCACACGCCCTCATCTGTCTCACCATTGAGATTATTCTGTTTGAAGAGCTGGCTACTTCGGCAAAGTAAGTTCATCCATACTACTTTTTTATTACTACCAATTCCCCAGTGATGTATCGAGTGTGCCTTTTAGGCACTGACTCTGACCAAGCAGTACAAACTGCTGTTTTCGTCGATTGTTCGGTACTATGTAGAATAGTATGATGCCGTCCGGTCATGCACCATGTTAAGCGTTTTTGGAAACATCACCCCCGTCATCAGTTATCTTGTTTCACTGAAAAAAATATTTTGGTCATTCGTTGACACCCGTTATGATGGTGCTACGTTTCGTCGACTTCGACGATTATCTTTTTGAAAATTGACTCAGCTTTATGTCATGGGAAGCTTCACATACGTGTGCTCGACACTTCATTCGTGCTTTCTCGGGCCTTCAAATAGAGTCAAGATGTTTGTTGCGAATTTCATTTGCTGACTGCATCTTTAGTGTCGGATGTTTTTTTACTTACATAGCTCCTAAACATTTTCTTTAAGTAATCAGGTTCACTAAATAAATTTAACTATAAATGTCAATGTTCCTGCAGGAAGACCAGTAGCCTATTTTTGGTAGTTGGAACCGTGCGAGTGAAAAACATCGCGCTGTTTGTGCATTTTGAAGAAACCAACTATTCTCAACAGATGTTTTTACCGTGAACGTTGTCATAGAAATGAGTGTATCGATTATTCATTAACGCATAATCCTCCGTCACCTACATGCATGCAGCAGTTTTACCAGGTACGGTATCACCAAGTATCCGTTGATGCCATTCCTATGCAAGTCGAAGTAATCGGTATTAAATCGGTATCCTCAGTGTCTTCAACTGTGGGACACCATTATTGTTAGCATTATTTAAAAACAACCACAATAGATCATACGTTTTTTCATGACACACCCGGGTGTGATGAACAGCAGAGGGGTTGGATCCCATAGTCAAGAAGATCTGCTGTTCAATGATGGAAGCCGGCAACCCAGGCCCCGGGAATAAGGGTGGTGAACCACATAAGGCCCCGCTAGGTTTAGCGTGGTATTGAACCTGACGAAAGCAAAGTTGCCTGGAGCGATATCGTAACAAAATTACTGCAGAAAATCTAAAATAAACTTGTACAGGTACAAATTTTGTCAGAAAATCCCAAGGTTGAAATGTACGTAGAATCATCAAAAACATGTCGGTGTTCTATGGTGTCCCATATAATGTCAACGTTATCATCTGAATGCCTGTGACTAGCCCGGAAATCGAGTGTTCATTGTCTCATGCGCGCTGTCCAAAAAATAATTCACAGGTGATCCGTTCAGATGTTTGTTCGTCTACCAGCAGCTAACTGTCATTGGCAGCATGAGACTGTCGAGTTATAATTCCTAATTTTCACTATCATCACAGGGTACACATACCGTCACAAGTCTGGTATTTAAATCGTTCAATCTATGCACCACTGATATGATGACTTATAACCATGTGTCACACTCATTGGATTGTTCATAGGCAACAAGAACTGCTTTTATTATGCTGTACATTCCTCTGAAATCAATCTCATGGAGCGCTTTCTGTTTCGCGCTCTTCAAGCCCAAACATCATGGCTTTGTGAAACGGCAGAAACAGCAAATCTATTGAGGGGGGCGGTGAGTTGTCTGTTGAAATCGTGGTTGGAAGAATAGTTCAACTATGTAACGTCCTCTTCGTTTAACTTGATGTCACAGTGCAGAGCACCGAACGACCACCGTAAAGCAAGCTCTGGTGAGTGTTGCGAAGTGCAAACTCAGGCATAATCATGGTGATGTAACTGGGCTGTACTTTAGCCTTCGTGATCACCAAATCTCATGCACCTCTTTTACGTGTCCTTGGAAATTATCTTTTCATTTAGTCATGCTTTTAAAAATGAGTATCTTAGTTTGAGTAATAGGAGGAACTGAACCTCATGCTCATGAGACTCCGTTTAAGTTGACCGGAAACCT